AGAATATGACAATTTAGGGGTTTTAAAGGCTTATTTATTTAATCGGTTTTAGAGTTTACTAATTAGAACAACGTAATTGTCCCGAATCAACAGTTTACTACTTTAGGAATTTACTACGAGCTTGACGAGTATGTAACGTGTGTTGAATCATCGATTGATATGAGTATTTGAATCGTATTCAGCGCGAAAAAGCTTGTTCGTGGGTGTAAAACCGCCAACGAATTGTTTCGAGTAAGAAGATTAACACGAGTATTAGTGATGGCATAATTATTATTGCCACGAGTTCGGAACGAGTTCTTTTCACAAATCGTCCGGAACGTCCTGTGAGTTCTCCCATGATTACTTCTTTAGTGACGTATAAGTGAGCGATGTGTTCGATAATTGGGCCTCAAAGAAGTAAATAAAGACAGAGTGAAAGATTGCCTACTATAGGCCTAATTATATAATCGAGAACGCAATAATTCGTCGATGAAATTCACTATATCAAAGAAGACTTCGGAAGACTGCGAGTTTACTTCATAAAGGCCTATCTGGTGTATATGGGCCCGACGTTCGGCAACCTATTTGTGCCTGTTACCATGCTGTAACCGTACCGTACTTTATTTCTACTCACGTTATGCTCACACTTTTGTTTATTAAGTGCTCATAGCCCTGAATAAGAGACGAATATAATTTGGTCGTCACCAGTTGAATTAAAAATATTTCGGTCATCATTATTATCATTATAACAGTTATTATGGCATTAATTCTGGGTGCAGCCTCTTCAAAATTTCAATTAAAAAAACCATACACCCAAAAATACATGCATTGCCAGCTAACCAATTTAGAGGTACCGTAAATGCTCGAATACTTAAGCGCCGCTCTCGAATAAACGCCGCTCTTGAATGAGCGCCGCAATAAACTTATTTCCGCTAAGCGCCGCTCTCGAATTAGCGCCGCGGCGCTTAATCGAGAGTATAATATTACCCTGTGTGTAATGAAACACTTTGAGAAACAGGATTTTAAATACAATGTATACCGTACAGTGTTGAAATGAAATAAATGAATAAATAACACAATAAAGACACAAGCATTTAATTATAAACCTTTATTTACGATGACTAGGACCTATGATAGGCCTACCGATACGGGAATGCGTGAGATAGGTAACATGGGAAAGGGCATGGAAAGCGCCACGCAAATATTTTTTATAAGCGCCGCTCTCGAATAAGCGCCGCACTGAAGCCCCCACAAATTGTATAAGCGCCGCAGCGCTTATTCGAACATAGGCCTATACACGAGTAGGCCTATACACAAAAATAACAAATTCGTCGTTAAATATGCAAAGGAATTATGTTCTTGTTCCTTACTTTCATTGAAATACTACGCAAAACATAACAAGTTATTGCCGTGGAGGGCAGCACACAAGATGCATGAGAAAACACACTTTATATCATCTCACCTGTAGGGTTAGGGTTGAGAGAGCAGCTTGAGAGCAGCTTGAGAGAGCAGCTTAGCTCAGACGGCTAATCTGGTGGTAGCCGCTGTGTGTGCGCTGAACCGTGGAGATCTCTAGGTCCCCGGTTCAATTCCCATCGCTGCCTCTCCTTGTGTTTCAGCTAGAGGGCTGAAATACAAGTTGCAATAGCGCACCGTCTTTCGGATGAGACGTTTAAGCCGTTGGTCCCGTATGCATTATGGCCCATGTGCACTCTTCGGAAAGAGAAGGGGATTGTCTCCCGGTGTACTGCCCAATCACCACCAGAAGGACCCCACTGGAAATAAGTCTTCTTCTAGACTTTCGTGGGCTATCCTTGGTGTTTACACCGAATAAATCCAATCCAATCCTGTAAGTTGTAAGAGTAAATCCGGTTGCAGTAATGATGGGATACCCGTCATTGCGTCATAAGCTAAGAATGAACAGTCTTCCATAAGTAAAACTACGATACGAAATATGATGTCATCTCTAGACCTGCCCTAGAAGAACTAAAAAGTCAACAGTTTTTAAACTTGTACACAGTTAGTTATTCATGTGAATTGCTGACATGGAAAGTCGTTATGGGTTAATAGTAGCCAAGCCAAAAATACTATACCAAGCACCTGTTGGGAGCCTATTTTTAATTGATTCACTAGGCGCTTGCGCTATTTCACATATAATTTGTTACCAACATACTTTGGAGTACGGTATCTCTTGACGCAGGGTTCCTGGAACGCCGCCCTCAGCGGCGAGTGCGAAGCACAACTCAGGCTCAAAAGTGGAACGTGAAATTTGGATATGGTTTTGTAGTCAGATTTGCGAGAAAAACTTCAGCTACCCGTATTTCTCGACTGAGACGTCAGTAGGAGCTGTAATTTGTATGGCAAGGAGATTGAGCAACCATTCATTCATATTAAGGGAATTTACGCCCAGAAACTTTGTAGTTATTAATATTTTTGTTATGATAGAAAATATTCATTTTTGGTGACGTCACACTCACGTTAGTTGGCATGCATACGTCATAAGGTAGATACGTCACCTTTTCCTGGTAAGGCAAACTTTCCCGGCGTGCTTTTTTCATGGATAAACAAACACCACTGCTTTGCACATGGATGCCTTGCCCAAGCCAGGGCTACTCTCTTATACACATCTA